GTCGGACTGAACTAAATTCTTCAATGAATTGCAATTTAATATAATTCTGGGTATACATCAATTTATATTTTTCACCGTTGCTCGTAGAATCCAGGTCTTTGACATTTACGCGATTTCCACCGAAGGAAAATTCATCTCTCGAGATGCAAACACACACTAGATGAAGGTAGATTTCGGTGAATTAATTTGAAAGTATTACATTCAGTTCTTAAGCGAAAGCTTCGGAATTAATAAACTCTGAAAGAGCCGTACCTCCGCGGCGGCTAAGCCGGGATAAGGCGTGGATCCCAACGTCACAATTTCCCATATTAATACCCCGAAACTCCATATATCCGATTTCACGGAAAAGATATTGTCGTACAAGCTCTCCGGAGCCATCCATCTTATAGGCAGCCGACCTTCGGACTTCCTTTCGTATATTTGATTAGCGGCCACGTCTCGAGCGAATCCGAAGTCCGCGACTTTGCACGCGCGATTCTCGTCGATCAATATGTTCCTCGCAGCTAGATCTCTATGTATAATTCCCTTGGAAGCCAAGTACTCCATACCCTTAGCAATCTGTAATATGTAAATTCAAGTGCGGTGTTAGTTCACTATTTATATTTACCTACGTATCTTTGCTGTTTTGTTGAACAAAATAATTTATAAATTATTTACCAGTAGTTCATAACTATTTACCAATTAGTTTATTACTTCTGAAAATTTCGTTACCTGATGAAATTTAGAAATTTTGCCTATTTAACTGAAGAAAAAGTAGCTTATAAATTATTTACTGAAGTATTGTACAATTGAAACACATTTGCAAATTCATTGTATGTAAATTTTTCAAGTGTGACATTAATTATTATTTATTTTTGTGTATTTTTGCTATTCAGTCAGAGGCAAAATAATTCATAAATTATTTACTGCAGTATTAGACAATTCAGACATTTGCAAATTCATTTGATAAAAGTATACAGTAATTCTTTTTTATTGTTGTCAATTGTTTGGAGTAGCATGATTTAGGACCAATTAGTTTATTATTTCTGAGAATTTTGTTAACTGAGAAAACTTAAAAATTTTTCCTATTTAACTGAAGAAAAAGTAGCTTATAAATTATTTACTGAAGTATTGTGCAATTGAAACACATTTGCAAATTCATTGTATGTAAATTTTTCAAGTGTGACATTAATTATTATTTATTTTTGTGTATTTTTGCTATTCAGTCAGAGGCAAAATAATTCATAAATTATTTACTGCAGTATTAGACAATTCAGACATTTGCAAATTCATTTGATAAAAGTATACAGTAATTCTTTTTTATTGTTGTCAATTGTTTGGAGTAGCATGATTTAGGACCAATTAGTTTATTATTTCTGAGAATTTTGTATACTATAATCAAAAGCAGTTCTTTTTCTTTATAAAAATGATAATTTTGAATAGAAGTTTTAAATAAATAGCATAAAATTTATTCGCTTCCATAAATATTCTGCATTAAGCCATAACTTTGTACCTGATAAACAAATCCTGTTAAATCCCTGGATGTTAATCCAGGTCCTCCATGATTTCTTTCTTCTCTAGAGGCTCTGAGGAAGCTCTGCAACTTTCCTCCGCTTACATACTCTAAAATTACGAACATAGGTTCACGTTCCGTACAGCAGCCCAACAGCCTAACTACGTTAGGATGAGGGTCCAAATTTTTCATGACTCGTAGCTCTTGTGCAAGATCCAGACGTTCTCTTTCAGTGGCGTTTTCTTTTAAAGTTTTCACAGCAACGATAGTTGCCCCAGATTTTCCATCGATGTCTAAGGCTTCGCATTTCCAAACTTGGCCGAAGCAACCTTCTCCAAGAATATTGAAAACCTGTTCGTGAAATGAAAAATGAAAAAATAGGCAAAAGGAATAAAGAAAGAAAAATGTAAATTATTCAAAATTTCCTGTGAAAAATTAAATAATCTTTGAACTGAATTTCTCCAAAAATATTGAAAACCTATTCATGAAATGAAAAATTTTAAAATACACAAAAGGATACTTGGATTATTCAAATTTCCCGTGAAAAATTAAGAAATAGTTCGAATTTCAAGGAAGGCAGTTTTAAGTTTTTTATTTTTCGAGGACAAGTTTTATATTAATTTTAGAAAACAACTTGAAAACATTTCAATTTCAGGCTGTTGTGTAATAAAACGAAGTGCGTGAAACAACGCGAAACTATAATCGAATACTTTCAGCGCACGTTCTACAACGAATTGCTGTTTTTAATTGATATAATTACACACTTTTAATCGATGTCGCGGGAATTCCCATTTGTCTTCTTGCTTATTCTGTGCACCTTGATTCTCTTTTTCCCACGGTTCGTAGCGATTGTTATGAGCTTTGGGGCCACGCCATCTTTTCAGAACAAGCGACGGATCGTCTGATATATTCGAGACGCTAACAGAAGCTTGTCCTTTCTATATGGAAGAAAACAGAAATTACTTTAACAATTTCTTGAAGCTTGTGTTTCCATATATTTCTGTGTATTTTGAAAATTATATAATGGATATAAGAACACTGTTAGAATTGTGCAGTGAAACTATTAAAAATTTGTTATTTAAATAAAAAAGCATTCTCCACCACCTTTATTTAAGAAACTTAATCTCCTTGTCAGGACGAAAAATATGCATTGAATATTTATTCTAACAATTTCTTTACATCTATAATACTATAATTAGTATAGTTTTCGAGATATACAAAAAAACAAGGAAATGCGTATTGATCTTTAAGGGGTGTTCTCACCCTGAACAACAAAAAGGTAGCAAGAAAGAAAAAAAAAAACACTGTTTTGTTATTGATCACAGGTTACCTCAACTTTTCCAATTTTTTGAAAATTTTAATGCCAAAGCATTTGATTAATGCTTATCTTTTTACATTGAAAATAAATTTCCTCTAATAATTAGGCGTATCGTCACTAAATGACAAAAATTCCTACAGCCGTTGAATAATAAATAATTTATTTCAGAAGTCAATACAATTAACTCCATATTCTAAAGTAAATCGTTGCAATACCGTACTTCAAACGCTTATAAGAATTTAGCTAAGTAATTTTCTAATGCAACGGTATAAAAGATATTAATACTGATATATTAATTTATCTTTGAAGTAAACAATTTCATCGATTTTCTCTACTGTTCGTTTTGCGGAGTTAACCGATTCGTCAAACGAGCGGCTCGTGCAGTGCAAAGAGGCGCAATTTAAAACGTGTTAACTGGCTTTTTGTACCGTGTCTTCCTTGGACTTCCTGTTTCCGCAAAATTTATTCCTCAAGGACCAGGCGCCCATACCAAGGCCCACAACGAGCACGCAGACGGCCATGACAGGCACCAAGGTGATTGCTATATCTTGAGAAGGCGGTGCCTCGGCAGGTGCAATTTTCGAGCTGAGTGGTGGCCCCTCGACCTCGTTCTCCTCCGTGGGCTGTTGCGGGACGCCGGTGGTGCCGGGACCAGGATCACCCTCGACCTGCTTCGTCTCCTCCGGTTGGAGCTTGGTCGTTTTCGGTACATTGGGCGGTACAGCCACCGGCGGCGACGATATCACCGATTTATGAGGCAATCCCGGTCTGGGGTAACTCTGTAAACTGGGCAGGCCCAACAGCGGCGGCCGTATTCTACCGGCAGAGCCATACTGACCCGGAAATGGGTTCCTGTTCAACAAAAATCGAAGCAGAGTTGAGCTTGCGCGGCTCGGTCTTCGAAAACGTCTCGAGTTGGTCCGAGGGTATCGTCAACGAACTGGAGCATGAATAATGGAACGAGCCACAGAGAGTCCCCCGAAAGGTCGCTCACCGTTCTTCGTGATTTATCGGCAAAACTTTCTAACGAGCTGACTAAGTCCTGCAGGTTCACGATGCTATGCCGTCTTGACCAATCACGGGACCAATTGAAAGAAAATCTCTATCTATCCCTCTCTCTCTCTATCTCTATCCCTCTCTCTGTCTCTATCTCTATCCCTCCCTCTCTCTCTGCCTATCTCTCTCTCTCTCCCCCCCTCTCTCTCTGCGTCTCTCTCTGCCTATCTATCTCTCTCTATCTATCCCCCTCTTTCTGTCTCTCTCTCTCTCTCTCTCTCTCTTTCTCTCTCTCTGTCTATCTATCTCTCTGTGTCTCTCTCTGCCTATCTCTCTCTCTCTATCTCTATCCCCCTCTCTCTGTCTCTCTCTCTCTCTCTCTCTCTCTCTGTCTATCTATCTCTAACTATCTATTTATCTCTCTCTCTCTCTCTCTCTCTGTCTATCTATCTCTATCTCTATCTATTTATCTCTCTCTCTGATTTTCAGATTTTGTAAAGTTCGAACAAGGTGATTGAGAATATAACGGCTCAGTGATGTGTGAATGTGGAGAGTTTTGTAAAAGATTGTTACTTCAAGTTTGTACAATTGAAATCTATGTCGTGGGAAATATTGTGTTTTAACTGGAATTTTATTCAGTTGATCAGGAACGAAGGTGCTAGTGTTAATTCGCCGTATTTAGTGTTAGTGTAAAATAATGTTTGCGTGGGTTAAATGATAGGACGAGGAGAGAAAGGATTGTTGAGTCATTCGATGTAGCTGAGAATAATATTAACTTCTGCTGTTAGAAAGAGAGAGTATTCTTTCGTTAGAGCGTATTTGTATAATTCAGAGAATTGCGATATCTTCTCTTTCGATTTGGTAGTTTAGATGTATATACGCGTGTTATCTGATAGTTTTTGACGATTCCTTGATATCATCTTGTACGAGCTAGTAGTTTTCGACATGCTACGTCTATTTATACAATTTAATAGTATCGATCGCTTTGCACAAATTGCTAATTTTCGACCCTCGTTCGTCTTATCCCATAAACTTTGAGGAATATTTGCTCGCACATCTTACCGTCTTCTTTATTTTTTAGGTGATTTCAATAGTTGCAGAAAGTACAACTAAAAAGATCATGTATAACTTTTCTTTATTTACTATTAAAACTAATGGCAATCACTGTATGTAATTTTGCGAACAATTTTGTAAAAAGAAACTGTAACAAACATTCTTCTTTCGTCTGATCTATATTTGGAGAATTTATTTCATATAAATTCCCCTTCATGTTGAACTTTTGCCTATGAAAAAAGATGTTAATACATTTAGATGAAAAAGTCACTAGCTATCTCACAATAAGTTTTCTATCAATGTAAATTCGACAACGATCGCTATGTACGCTTGGAAATATTTATAAAAATCAGAAATCGCATTTAAAAAAAGACCAAAACGGAAATAATTGAAAATTCGACATAAAAAGCGCCAGAAAAACTTGCCATTTACTCTTGAAATCTTAATAAGAATCTTAAATCGGATAAAAAAATGTCCGAAACGGCAAAAGTTTCAAATTCATTACAAAAAGCGTCATTTACGCTTGGAAATATTTACAAAAGCCAGAAGTCACATAAAAAAAACGTCGAAGAAGCGAAAAATTCGACGATCACAGGTCGTCGTCGCAAATAAATAAGCGCGCAAGCGAAGTTCGACGCGAGCAGCGCGCACGCGCAGAAGATCAGAATCGGTTCATCGATCGGTGCGCGCGACCAATTTTATCCACGACGGACAACCTACCTGGTGTGTCCTCCATTGGGACCTGAAGTGTTCTTGATGGTGACGAAGACCTCGGTCTTTGTCGTGAGTTGACCGTCTGAGACGGTCACGTAAAGGAACAGGTTCTGCCCTCCCTGGAAAGAAGAAGCAAGAAACGTCGTTCAATCCTTGAACGTCGACCATACGCGGCTCATATTACGTTCTCGTCGTGTCGAAAAGGGAAAAATACTTTGCCCTCGTCTAACGATCAAGAACTCGTCCACGCAGATGCACCACAATGTTGTGTACGATGCTTCTACTGTGGCTTCTAACCGAATCGCATTGTGAAACGACGATTGCTCGCGAGCATAATCATGCACCGTCGTACATGTCGCTGCACGATAACGATAAAAACTTGGAAAAATATCTACTCTTCCTTTTTCACGTTAACGTCTAACGAGCTTTGCTTGAGATCCAAATTGCGAATACTAGGATTTAGGTGTGCTGGTGATTGGAGCTTATGCAAAATAGAAAGAAAACGATCGTAATAACGCTTAATGGTCTAAGTAAAAAATGTAAGGCAATCGAGTTTATCGCTTATTTCGTGTTACGTCGATCTTCTCGTAGAAAAGATTTATATTGGGGAAAAACACCCAAAGGGAAAATTATGAATATTTTGAAACGAAAAATGGTGAAATTTTAGCAGCTGTAACCTCTTTCATACTCTGTCCACTGTAATTGACCAGGAATATTCGTAATTTAAATCGTAAAACGAACACTCGTGTAAATCGTTAGCCAAGAATTAAGAGAGATTTGTTGAGAAAGAAGAAGGTGTCGTCCCGTGTTTACCAGTTGGCTCGTTTTAATATGAAAATAATGAAGGCAGATTAAAAGCAACACTCACTTTGTCTTTGAGCGTTTCGTTAACGTAGATAATGCCGGTGCTATTGTCAACGAAGAAAGGAAGCGGCGGCTGCGGACTATCGTTTCCGTTGTAGTTGTGCCCAAGAGGTTCCAGACCATAGGTTAGCTGATCCTGTTCATTGTCCTCGGCACGAGCCCTAGTCACCACACTACCTACAGGTTCCGAATCCAGCAGCACCAAATTTCGGTCTATCCACATTACAGGAGGTGTGTTGTCGCTGTACTGACTTTCTGCAATGCGAATTAATTTGTGAAGTAAGTGACGTTCGTCTACTGCTTTTAGTTAAACCCTTTATCTACGTATACTATCAGCGCTCTTCGTATTCTATTCTTTATATTTACATATTACTCATTTTACAAATATAGAATAGAAAATGGTCAGGATAAAATGATTTGGCTAACGAAATATGTAGTGTGACTATTAATGCCATAACTCAGTAGCTTTACTTTTGGGTTGCCAGCAGTAGAAGGGTTAAGAGGGTACGTCACCCTGAGACGTTTAAAGATAGGCGAAGCTTGAGAATTTTTTTCTATAGGTAACTAGTAAATGAACAGTTTCAATTTTTTCAGAGGATGTAAATGTACCTTTCAGCTTCGTTCTCGAATTTTTAGAAAGTGAAAATGTGACAAAATGGAAGAGTTATTGTGAAACCTCCTCTGCTGGAGCGTCGATTGCTGACTGCTTTCGTTGGCAAGAATTGAAACGTGTGAAATGAAAAATTCTTTTTCATTTGTGAATAAAAATGTATGATCTGCAACGTAGCATACGGTTTTCACGATATGTCGATTATTTAATTTTTTAGAAAAGTTTAAAATTGATTTTTTGGCAAAAAGTGATTTTTCCTATTCAAAGCGTCACCATTTCTATAGTAATTATAATTTTTGAGAAATCTTACGCTACAATGTAGTTAATACATTTTTATTTATAAAGTAGAAAGATTTTTTTATTTTAGACGTTGCAATTTTTGCCGGCGATGGCGGCCAGCAATCAAAGTTCTAGCAGAAGAGGTTTCGCAATAACTCCTCCATTTTCTAACATTTCTAGTTTTCAAAAATTGACGGAGAAAGCTGACAGTTACATTCATATCCTCTGAAAAAATTGAAACATTTCACTTAGTAGTTGCCTGTGAAAAAAATTCCCAAACTTTACCTATTTTTAGAAGCCTCAGGGTGGTGTATCCTTTAAGGCTGGAATGTAATTGCATTAGGATGGAGTAAAGTATTGGATAGAACTTAGGAGATTCTTTGTGCTCCGCAAAACTAACAAAGGCCTCCGTTTGGAGCTCGAATAGAACATTCTCAATCATTCTCAATAAGAGTCTCAGTCAGATTCTCAAATCAGAACAACGAACACAGTCAATCTCTGCAGAACCTGTAGACCTTGTAATCAAGTATAAAAACATAAACCAAAATGATCAACATAGTAACTTATTCCTTCATTAAAATGCTCTTACGTCGTTAATTTGCCGTCGGAGGCGTTGTAACGTACGCGCAATAGTAATAGGCGTAGAAACGAACTTCTTCTTTTCTTTAATTTGCATATCGCAGCACATTTAACTTCGTTCATTTAGATCCTCACAAATTATTAAAATATTCGCTCAGTTGATTTTTGTTTGCAGACAACAGAAACACGAGTAATTATTTCGCAATTGTAATATTTTATTGTGCGACAAATTATAAACGATATAACGTCTAATTTTCGCGTTACAAAAATATTTAGACACTATCAAAATTTTTGCGGTGAATTGCCTGTCTCAAACGTAACTGATTCAAAACCACAGAGTTTCTGTCGTTTTCGAGTTACTCGCGTATCTACAGATAAAATAAACACCTTGTAGATCATAATTCCTGTTGCATTAAAGTCTCAGAGGCAAGTGTTATGTTCTTAACAGATTGAGCGCCGGCGACCTAAGAGACATTTAAAGCCTGAGCGCCGGCAACGTACCGGCCACTTAAAGCCCAAACGCCGGCCTCATTCGCTTGTTTCTGATCAATGAGTAGCCAAAAAAAATATTCAAAACATTATACATTTTCGTAAAACAGTACATTTTAATTGCATATTCGTTCGGTCATTTCACAGTCACTGGAATCATCGGAATCACTTTGTAATGGAACAGCTCTTGATCTTCTCCTTGGACCCACATCACTATCACTGTCCTCGACTTCTATATCACAATCTTCTGAATGTATCGAATAATCCGATAGAGAGCCAGCAATATACTCATTAATAATTTCACTCATATTGTATGGGTAAAAGGGTACAGAATAATAAGACTTGTTATACTGTTCAACCAAAAGCGTAAGCGTACGAAAGATATACTGTCTGCGGAATACACTGCTCGAGAGTGATTCTTGCTTGGATTGTTTCTGAACCATCGTATACGTTTTGTTTTTAGAGTATAACAAATGAAGATCGACGTAACCATGACAAGTGAATGCAAATCGATGTGTAAGACACCCATACCAAAAAATATTCCACATCATCGTGGGGCCGGCGCTCAAGCGATAGACTCAGAATCCCGCGTTTTCACGGGGCCGGCGCTCAATGTGTTAAGATCTACTCTTTTCATGCGTTTTGTGTACTTTTGTTTTGTATTCTTTTCGATCGTTTTCTTTGGTAGTTTGCGTGTATGTAAATGTAGAGTAGGATAGTTTGTTAACAAATATTCTAAATTTTCATATCTTATTCAGTTATTCCAATTTCAACAAAATAAACTGTTCGCTATTGCAAACACTTTCGAAATTCAGAGTAGGAGAATTAATGAAAAATTAATACGAAGAATACCTAATTGTTCTCTAAAGCATAACTACAAAATTTGCATATTTTAAATAAAATACAGTAGAATATTAATTAAGATATACGTATTACTCGATAAATTATTAAAAATCGTGTTTTATTATCTTCATTTTAATTATTTCATATTTTGCAAGAAAAATATTTGCTGTTTATGTCGATTTTATAACTAAACCAGTATCGAAAAAGTTGACTAAATGCTAATTGTGCGAAATACTAACAAATAATGCGATTTGTGCACGAAAAGGAATGACAATAACTACCCGTACATTCAATAACGTTGTTTTTGGCACATAAAGTCGCGTGTATCGTTAATTTTATTCTCTCAACTCATACATTCGATTCAGGGGATCGTGCAAAGGAAACTTTGTATTTCCTTTTTTTTTTTTCCTCCGAACGCGATTAGTTGGAATAGAATGAAACGACTTTCCGCTTGAGCTCTAATTAACTTCGGATTTACTGAAACGATAATGAGAGAGAGCCGCGGGTGGCTTGAGAGATCGGCCTTGATATGCATTCCTTCCTGGATTTTGAGTTCATATCGTCAAGTAGAGTGTAACCTTTTATACTACTACAAGAGACCGCTGGCATCAAGATTTTCGCTATTTTCCGACAGATATGAACGACAAAAATCTTTGAAATATTTCCTCGTTTCGTCAATTCTTTCTTACCATTTGAATAACTTGCAACAGTTTTCGTCATTTATAATTTTATGATTTAAAATAAATATCATTTATCATTCGTAACTTTTTTTATAATCTACAAAAGTTTCTATCATTTATATGTTATAATTTTCAATAAATTCTCAATTTATAACAGATTTGCAAACTTTTTTTTAAATATATATAATTTATCATTCGTAACTATTTTTTTACAATTTATAATCTATGACTCTTTCTTATAATTTATAATTGAAAATGAATACTTATTTTGTAACAGGTTCGCAGATACTGTTTTGGTGGAATGAATGTTACATAAAGTCTCTGTCTTCTACTTGCAACACCGTTTTTCCTTCGTTTCTTCTTACGATCGTTCCCCTTCACGTTGTTTTACACATGCAGCTACAATGTGCTGACTGTGGGCGTACACGTATGTTTCTCAATTATTTCTCAAGTTATCGAAACTATGTCGCACGAGAAATTCATTCGTAAAATATTCACCCGTGAGTGGTATTTGACGAACTCGAAACGAATCACTGTACGTTAGAAAACTGTGTTAGATGGCTTACTTTTACATAATTGTCCTTGTTAACTTTTAATTCTTTCTTTAGCTTAATTACACTTATTAATTACACCAGCTTGAATTTTTTCAACGAAACGTTATATGCCCTTTCTCGAATTCCTTGGGCTCCAAAAGTTTGGAAGCACCTCCCAATTTTCGTCAGTACTGAATCTGCTACTAATTTTTCATAGACTTGATACTGATATTGTGGAGATAAATAGCAATTTGTCTCATATCGATTGATTTGAATGATAGAAAATTCGTTAAAAAATTCTTTAAGCTGCTGACTTTTTTCTGCGAATTTTTCTGTAACTTACAATGTATTCCAAACTTTTGGCCGGTAGTGTACGTAATAAGCAAACTCACAGTCATTAATTATGCAAGAATGTTGCTTACTTTGAAATATGAATATTCAAGTTTCACATGGGAGATTAATACGTTATTCTTTATATTAGCCGGATGATTATGTAAATAATGTAAAAAGGATATTTCAAATTGTGACATTCTTCAAAAAATTACACTTCTTTCAGGGGGTCTGCTAGTGTGACGGTTTCAAAAAGTCGATTTTTATTTTTTTGTATATATCGAAAGTACAACTCTTTAAGAATGTACTCCTGAAGTGTTATAGTTGTATTCAATGAAATAACGAAGTTATAGTTCGTATAGTGTGACACATCAAGGGAGAATGTAAATTGCACTGAAAACTTTAAACGCGTTTTTCTCGGAACCATGTTTTCTGAAATGATTGCCACGATCTGGCAAAAATTACTGAACCAATCGAACTCAAATTTTGCACATGTCTTCAGAACATGTGTGGCTATGGTCGGTAGTAGAATTATGCCAAAATATATATTTTTCTGATTTTTAGAGCCTCTGAAAGACGAAAAAAAGTCGAAAAAGCGATACTTCGTATTCAAAGTGCCGCCATTTTCTGAATTTTCAATATTTTTCCTTTATTCTACTACCGACCATAGCGACATGCATACTAAATAAGAATCAATTGGATTTTTTTATTTTTGATAAGCAGAACAGCTCAAATCATAGCAAGCATGGACCTACTTTTTTTTTTCATGCTCCTGTGTGACGTGTTCCACAGCAGCCATATTTAATTATTTTTCAACAAAACAAATTTGTAATGATTCTTCAAGGACAAGTAAATACATAGGAATAAAGCTCATGTTAATAACTTTTACCGTACTTCTGTAATAAATTAGCA